AACTAGTATAATATCGCGATAGATTCGGATAACTATTTCATTAACATGTTAACTAGTAAAGTATCTCGATAAATTCATATATTATTTGTTAAATGTATATTTATCATGTTAAACTATTTAATATCATACAAACTAATAAGAAAATATCAATTTAATATTATGAATTTTTTTTTTTAATAAAAATTATTATAAGAGATTACTTATAATAATAGTGATAACAATAATATTAACGGACTACACATACTTGTAACGTGCTAAGGTATTAAATACATCATTTTATAACAAGTTACCTATATTTTTAACTGTAAAAATACTTATTTATTCTTTAATTTAGTTCGGTAACTAATATATAGTATAATATTAGACTTCTTAATCGTTAAATTATAACTTATCGTGTCCATTGATGTTTCTCTTGATGTGATATTCCACATATCATCTTCACCACCATCATCAGTAATATCTTCTCCGCCACTGTTACGAGCTCACCCTGAAATTGGAAATACCACCACTTACAAACTACTATTACCAGTAAGAATTAACCACTATTTTGCCGAATATTGAAACCACTACTCGTCTTTGATTTTGTATTTTTCGAATTGAAAACAGTTCACCTCGATCTTCATTTTCGTTGAATCAAAATTACTATTAATAATCCCACCAAAGGAGACAAATCGATTTATTGACTATGGAGGAAGTGAGATCTAACATACCATCAATGGCAACATCGGAATGACACATGGAATTTTTCTTCATCGTCGAATCCAAACAACCACCGTACACAATTCAACCTCACAACTCTTCGATTTTGCTTCTCCAACCAGTTTCAGTTATCTACAATTTTTATTTGATTTTATTTTAATCTTGCAATTATTAAGCTTTCGTTTCTTTTATTTCATGTAGTAAGAAATAAAATACTAGAGAAAAGAAAAGAGACAACAAGAAGAGAGAGAGTTTTAAGGGTACAAATGTCCAAAAAATGATGATAGGGACGTATGTACAGTGACAAATTGGTCAAATTAATTATCAAGTTTTCCATGTATAGACAGTAGTAATACCCTTTTTTTTATATAGAAAATTATTAAAAATATTCTCAAAATTTATGTATTTTGAAATGGGAAAAATGTCAAAAAAATCATGAACTTTCAAATTTGGGACGATTTAATCTTGGACTACGATGAAGACATTTAAATCATAAAGTTTTTGTTGACTTTACAATTAATTAGCGAAGTTTTTTTGACTCGCCATTTTAGACACATCGTTAAGTAGGCTAACAGACAAGGTTTACGGTGTTAAACTTCCGTTTAACTTCTCCGTTATCTGAAAACGATATCGTTTACTCTAAGCGATAAAACGACGTCGTTTTGACGATTTGGGGGAAACTTAAACCTAATCCCCAAATCGATTTCATTTTCTAACCCTAGAATCCCAATCTCTCTCTCTCGCTTCCCTCTGTTGAAATTCCGACTGGATTTCTTCCTTTCAATCTGCTCCAATGAGTTCAAGCTCTGTCACGTCTGGTGTCGTCGGAGATCGTGGTGTTCCGTCGAAGTGTGTGTGTGGTTTAGATGTCACAATTTTCACATCAAAAACGCAAGAGAACCTGGGCCGACCTTTCTTCCGGTGTATTAGCAAACGAGATGTTAGTTCGTGGACAAGCAAAAGAGATGTAAGTTTATGTATGAATGAAATTTGTTCTTGGTTAGATTTTTCAATGTCAGTAGCTAATGTGTAATTTGTTTGTGGCTTAGTGTCATTTATTCAAGTGGGTCGAAGATGCAGTGTTTGAAGAGGTAGAAGATGCTTTTCCAAGGTTAGCAATCATTGCAAATGAGGTTAGCAAAGCCAAATCAGAGGCAAATGAGTTAAAGGCTATGATTCAAGAAATGAATTGGAAGAAGCAATGAGCAACAAAATGGAAACCCGAAGAAACTGGTGTGGCTTGAAAGTGTGTTTTGTGTGGCTGTTTGTTATTACCATTGTGATGATTGTCTATGGGTTGTTTGATCAGGGTAAAGAGAACAAGCTTGTAGTAGGTTATTAGTGTATTGAGATTGTGTTGCAACATTTGACTTCGATCAATGCAAGTTTGGTTTAGTTTGAATTTTCATACTAAAAAAATAATAAACACCAAACAAGAAAATGAAACATGTTTCTAATACAAACTGAAACAAAAAAACAATTTTGAACAAACCATGTTCTGTTATTGGTTCTGAACCAGAACATACACAAAACACACATAATCCGAGTAAAACACACATAGGTTCTCTGACAGCATAAAGACAAACTTGAACACAAACTGCAGTTTCGACCTAATCCGAGTAAACCACAAAAAACAAACAAAAGAAACGAAACAAACTAGTTTGAAAATTCAAACCATGACCCCCACCCTTGTAATCCTTGTCTCTCAGACCCTGCAGTTTCTGACCCTCCTCTATGTGACCTTCCTCTCTGTGATCCTCCTCTTTGTGACCCTCCTCTTTGTGACCCTCCTCGCTGTGACCTTCCTCTCTGTGATCCTTGGGATGCTGCAGCTGGTGCTCCTTGGGATGCTGCAGCTGGTGCTCCTTGGGATGCTGCAGCTGGTGCTCCTTGGGCTGGTTGGGAAAGAGATGGTTGTGAAAGAGTTGGTGCTCCTTATGAAACTTGAGATGGTTCTCCTTGTGATCCTTGCCATGTTTGTCCTTGTCCAAAGAAGATGATAAGGTTCAAATTTACTCCTAGAACTACTCTCTTAAATAAGAGATCGAATTGTAGTACTTAAGGGTCGAATTCCACAAAGTTCTCGTTGTTCACACAATAAACAATTTAGCAATCGAATTAAGCTAGATATAAAATAAAGAAATCGAATGAAAACTAGCAAGTGAAGGAGGTTTTTAGATCAATTGATGGAAAAGCTAGATTTAAGGTTATTCCTTTCAGTAATTCAGAATTACAAATTAAATAATAGGTAAGGGTTTATTAAGCACCGTTCTTGAACTCAAATCACAAATATCAAATTAACCACCTCTCGATGCATTAATTATCTATGCTTAATAATAGAAATCTCAACTCTCGATGCGAATTCCTAAAACTAAACAAGCATTAAAATTCGGGTTTTATATATTCACAAAAGTACTAAACCAACTCTCGATGCGAATAGTTCTTTTGCTCACCTAAGATTATTTCAGGAAATAGATGACCTCTCGATTCTATCTAATATCCTATGAGCTAGATTCCAGGTGATCAGTCTAGAACTAGTAATTCATTCAAATCTAGGTGAAGAACACTAAAATTACCCTACCAAATTGTTCAACTTAGCAATTCATCAAAACATGGAAAAACCCTAAATCTAAGAAGTGAATTACTCAGACATGTTAGAAGAAACACAAATCATAATCTGAATAGATTGCATTAAAAAGAGTAAGAGATAGAGTAAGGGAGTTCTGAATCTCTCTGAAGGAGTCTGATTCTTCTCTCCAAGCTAATCCAAAAATCTCTCTCTAAATTCAAGCATAAAAACCTTACAAAGATAAAAACCTAATAATATAGTTTAAAACACGTCGGGGACTTCTTTTGCAATAAACAAGAATATGAGGGCCATTCTGCAATTCTTCAAACTTGATAAAAAAACGTGTGTCGTCCAAACAAGACGCGACGGTGTCGATCGACACTGATGGTGTCGGTCGACACCAAGATACTCTGAACGTGACGAGTTGCGTTTATTAGCCAAATTGCTTAGCTTTTTGCTCCAGAATTCTCCCAAACCTGTTAATACCTGCAAAGACTCTAAAAGACACAAAAAGGACCAAAAAGACTCTAGAAAGACACCTAATATCATGGTTAAAATCAGTAAAAACCATGATATATCAACTCCCCCAGACTTAGCTTTTGCTTGCCCTCTAGCAAAAACGCAAAAACTGAACCTGTGGAAGAAGTTTGAAAACGCAAAAACTCTCAATCTTTCTAGAACATTGCAATAATCATCCAAACTAAACCCATACGCTTAGCATGTCACTTTGGTCCTAACCACCATGTACTTCTCCACATACATTTTCACCATTCCAAATCCAAACCAAATCACTGCAACTATATCCAATTACCTTCATCGCTAAATCTCAACAATGAACCTAGCATCCAAGAAATTTCTAGATTCTTTCCCGTACAAATACCATGGCAAGTGAAACGCTCTTACAATTAGCTATTAGTATCATTCTTCTCCCCCAGACTTATTCTTTTCAATTAGTTTCTCTTTTTTTTTTTTTTTTGACAAAGGTGTAGGCGAATAATGGTATCGTCGGAAATGTTCCTAACCTCGCTTCCAACCTTCGTGTGATCATTCCTCTTGAAGTAAAATAATGAGATCACGGGAAATTTTCCTAACTCTTTACTTCAAAAGAAAATCATCTAAATCTTTTTTTTTTTTTTTATTTAATCTGAGAGAGGAAAACTGTTCTTTTACAATGGTCTCACTTATCAGGTAAGAGCGAGAAATCAAGTTCTGAAGACACTAACCTCATTGATGGATAGAATAAACAAGCAGTTAGCTCATGTATTGTGGATTATGTTGAGAATTCGGGTGTTTCTGTTCCGGTGATCGGTCCTATGGATTTTTCATTAGTCGGACCAACTTGAGTCTGCATCGTTAATCAACCAAGCAATAGACTAGAAAGCAAGATCATAGTTTTCAACAAAGATTTTGACTCAATAAAAAAAATCTTTGAAAACGGACTGACTCTAAGAAAACAAAAGAAAAATGTCAGTAACTGACTCCCCCAGACTTAAGTAACACTGTCCCCAGAGTTACCAAGCAAGAGGAAGTCCAAAAACAAAGAATAAGAACAAAACATTACCTTTGATCGTGTAGTGGTGTCGATCGACACTGATGGTGTCGGTCGACACCTAGTCCGTGAACAGACAGTTGATCGAGCTAGAATCTGAATTGTTGAGCTTAAATTGAATGTTTCACAAGGATTCTCCAATAGGCACTGTCAAATCACTAAAATACACATTAAAAAGCTCAATAGACAATAACAATCGAGTTCAACAAGTCCCAAATCAAAGAAAGTACAACATCCGAAGCAAAGAAAATGTCTGAAAAACAAAAGAAAAGCAAAGATAAGACAGCAAAGGATAAGGAGGATAGCTAGTCCTCGTGCTCGGTATCAGCTCCCTGCGGTGGTGTGGGTGAACGCTGACGACGACGATCGGGACGAACGCATCTGCAGCGAGAAAGAGTGGCAATAGGATTCCAAACGCTCTTCAAACTGTCAACCATGTATTGCTGAAAGACCCCTGTCTCCATTGGGATTGGTGGAGTGTCGGGAAGCTCGCACTGGGAGGTGGAAGAAGAGGAGCTGTGATGAAGACCCCCAGCAGGGCCATAGATCGGTGCATCCTCAACAGGTGTAGAGACGGCTCTGGTAGCTGCTCTGCGACGACGGGTGGGTGGTGGCACATGGAGAAGAGAGGCGTCGGGTAAGAAGGCGAGCTGAATAGGGTCGCCCGTAAGAAGGCGACCTGCGGTTTTGGTCCAAGTGCCACTGAAAGGCTAATACTTAATCTTCTCCAACTCATGTGCAAAGACAGCCCCGAAATTCACAAGTCGGTCACACTCATCCTCATCTGGACCTGAAATGCAAGAATCACCAACAACATAGTTGAGGAATATCACCTCAGTACGTCTCATCTTACCAGGCTCCATCTTGCACAACAGGGTGTGCCCAAGAAGTCGAACAACATATCTCAATGCTGGATGCCTGATATCTGTCTGCGCTGATTTCTTGGAGTCATATTCTCCATTCCCGATATAAGACCAAAAGTTCTTAATACCATCAAAACGATCAGGAAGAGCCACACGTGGGACCTCACCATCAAAACCATAAATCTCTGCCAACTCACTCAAAGGCAAACTGTAGCGCACGCCTCTAATGAAGAAACTCAGAAAACCGTCTCTAGCATTTTTCTCATTCTCTTTCTCATACCCAACTCTAACAGTGGCAATAAACTGCCTAACCAACTCCGGGAACATGTCATACTGCTTAGTGCAAATTGTTCCTAAACCGATAGCCTCTAACATCCCTAAAACCGTGGTCTCAATTCCCATCCTTCTCATCAAATCCATATCCGCTACTCTAGTAGGCTTAAGAACCACTCCCAACCAAGCATTGTAAAACAAAGTATCATAATCATCCCAATCCTGAGAGAAAGGACGGTTTATGTACAAAGTATCATGTCATACCGGAATTCGTTTTTTCGCTTTTTCTGGCCAGCCATGTTGCAGATCAGACGAATGGATACTTGGGATGGATAGAGGATGAAATTCTAATGGATTTAGACACCAAAAGCGAAGAAATCGGTGAAGAATCGAAGGTTCCAAGAGAGGAATGGTGATTTCGGCGGTTTGGGAGTAAAATGAAGAAGAAGACGCGTCTGAGGGTTTATGTCGACCTGCCTCGATACCCGTGGTGTCGAGCGACACAAGGTGGTGTCGATCGACACCACCCCGTGGTCGTGATACTCGTTCTGTTTTTTTATATATATATATATATATATATATATATATATATATATATATCTGAAATAGCAAAAACTCAAAAATAAATATTAGCTAGTTAGTAAAAAGAAAAAGAAAATAAAAAGAAAAAATAAAGATTAATTATACAAACGAATAATATAAAAGAAAATAAAAGAATTATACACAACCTACCGGGTGGGTTGCCTCCCACCGTTCTTGAACTCAAATCACAAATATCAAATTAACCACCTCTGGATGCATTAATTCTCTATGCTTAATAATAGAAATCCCAACTCTCGATGCGAATTCCTAAAACTAAACAAGCATTAAAATTCGGGTTTGATATGTTCACAAAAGTACTAAACCAACTCTCGATGCGAATAGTTCTTTTGCTCACCTAAGATTATTTCAGGAAATAGATGACCTCTCGATTCTATCTAATATCCTATGAGCTAGATTCCAGGTGATCAGTCTAGAACTAGTAATTCATTCAAATATAGGTGAAGAACACTAAAATTACCCTACCAAATTGTTCAACATAGCAATTCATCAAAACATGGAAAACCCCTAAATCTAACAAGTGAATTACTCAGACATGGTAGAAGAAACACAAATCATAATCTGAATAGATTGCATTAAAGAGAGTAAGAGATAGAGTAAGGGAGTTCTGAATCTCTCTGAAGGAGTCAGATTCTTCTCTCCAAGCTAATCCAAAAATTTCTCTCTAAATTCAAGCATAAAAATCTTACAAAGATAAAAACCTAATAATATAGTTTAAAACACGTCGGGGACTTCTTTTGCAATAAACAGGAATATGAGGGCCATTCTACAATTCTTCAAACTTGATAAAAAACGTGTGTCGTCCAAGCAAGATGCGACAGTGTCGATCGACACTGATGGTGTCGGTCGACACCAAGATACTCTGAACGTGACGAGTTGCGTTTATTAGCCAAATTGCTCCAAATGCTTAGCTTTTTGCTCCAGAATTCTCCCAAAACTGTTAATACTTGCAAAGACTCTAAAAGACACAAAAATGACCATAAAGACTCTAGAAAGACACCTAATATCATGGTTAAAATCAGTAAAAACCACGATATATCAGAAGACAACCCTTGGATCATGTTTTCAATCTCACATTACATCAATTTAATAGGATTCAAAAAGTTTCAAAAAACTTTTTAATGTTAAAGAGGATATAAACCTGATCTTTTCTAGGGCGACCCCTCGGTCTTCTTGGTGGAGGTGCAACTGTCTGGTTCTTACATCCTTGCTTGTTGTGTCCTTCTTCTTGACAGTTTGAACATTTCATGACTCGGTGGATGCGTGATAACTCGGTGTTACTAGAGCTAGAGGCAGTTGCAGTCTCGAAAAGGCTTTTCCTCCTATCATGATTCTTTGGTCTTCCAGGATTGCCTCTTCTCCATGGAGGTGGTAACACTCCTAGTCTGTTGACTGTTGGCCACAAAAGCTTGCCTTGAACAGGTCCAATACCGTCATATTATGTTTGCTTCCACATACTTGCTGTGTACCAGTCGCTGACATAGTCCTCCACTTTCTGCCTTGTTCCTATTATGACAGTTGCAGCATGAATACACGGTATACCTGTCATCTACCACTTCCTACAACCACATGTGTTATCATTCATATTCACAGAGAATGAATCATCAGCACCCACCCTGACCTCGTGTTTATTGTGCCTTGCCATCCATCTTTCACAAACAACAGACCCAGCAATCATCTTCTCTATCTCCATGTGGGCTCGCTTAGTGAATCTACTCTTCAGTCTGTCAGCAATCACATATCTCTTCGCATTACGCACCATACACTGCCTCCTAATGTCTTCCAACATATCTAGCAGTGGTTTCCTCCTTGCTTGTCTGATTGTTTTATTGAATGACTCACTGAGGTTGTTTAGGTTGTCATTGCAGCAGCTTCCAATCCGGAAGAAAGCTCTAGACCATGTGAGGGGATTAGTCTTTAGTAAATACTCATAAGCACTTGGATTGTAACTCTGCAACCCTAGCATATGAGCTTGAAATTCTCCATTAGTGTAACTCCTAGCAATCTTCCAGAAGAGTCGTTGTAGCTCCATGTCATGGCTATTTCTCTTCCAGTTCTCCATGATGTGCCTAGCACATTGCCTATGCTCAGCTTGTGGTATGACAGAATGAATTGCTTTAACTAAACCCTGAAATGATAGAAAAAAAATGGATATAGTTAAAGTAAAGTTACAAGACTGAAACAAACAAATAAAAAAAGTTAGTAGACTCACCGATTGTTTGTCTGATATGATGGCCACATTTCTTCCATCTTGAAGTTCCAAAGTTCTAGAGAGAAGCCTTACAAACCAATCCCAATTATCATCATTCTCTATCTCTACAACTGCCCATGCAATTGGTACAATTCTATTATCTCTATCTCTTCCAGTCGTAGCCAATAAATGTCCCTTTATGTGCCATTTAAGGAATGCACCATCTATACCTATGATAGGCCTACATGTTCTCTTCCAAGAGTCTTTTTGTGACTTAAAACAAATGAAAAGCCGAGAAAACCTTTGTAAGCTTCCAATGGTTGGCCCTGGGATTATCTCGATCTCAAAGATTATCCCTGCATTACTGCGGAAGATCTCAGCTTGATAATCCCAAATCCGTGAAAAGTGCTCTTGATGAGTCGCTTTTCTTTCTCTCATAACTAATGTCTTCGCCTTTGAACATTGATCTTCTGTTACAGTGAGTTTGTACTCTCTCTTGATCTCATCCACCATCTCTTGTTTGGTTATTTTCGGATTCTTTCTCAGCCTTTCTCTTTGACTGTCCGCCTTCGAGGCAAATTTGGGCCTTATCACCCATTCCTACCTCAGGACATATTTTCCCCAGAAGTTCTCTCTTCTATAATTTCGACTTTCTTTTCTGGCGTGGGAAAGAATTCGGAATAGAAGAGGACACTCTGGAACTCTTTCCATGGATATTATGGTATATCTGGAAAAGTCGTAACAGATTTTACTTTGAAAACTTAAAGAATCTCCTCAGGAGACGTTGGCTTTGGCCTTACAAGAAGCCTCTGTTTGGAAGAAAGCAAACACGAAAGAAGCGGAAGAGCCTGAGCCTCTCACCTGCCCGGTTTTACTTCACTCGTCCCTTCTCCGGATCTCAGAATGTCAGACGGATGCTTCCTGGCATTCGGAGGAATCCCTAAGTGGACATGGTTGGGTTCTAGCCGACCAAGAGCGTATTCTCCAACTTGGCTTAAAGAGCTCGAGACGTAGCCTCTCACCACTCCACGCGGAGATTGATTAGTTGCTTTGGGCAATGGATTGTTTGATCTCGCTCGGCATTACTACTTGCGCCTTCGCATCTGATTGCTCGGACATGATATCGCTCCTTGACAACCAAGACGCTTGGCCAACCTTCGCAGCAGAAATGACATCTTTCCGGTCACTCGTTTGTTTTTTCCCTTCTTTTAGTATTAGATTTCTTCCTCGTAGTTCAAATACTCGAGCAGATTGTTTAGCTAAACAGGCTCGATCTCGAAATAGTCTCTTTTCCCATGTAAGCTCGTCGGTTCCTGATTGGCTCTCCCTAGCGGAGAGTCTCTTTCCGATATCTTAATAGAAATGGTGTTTGAGGAAAAAAAAAAAAAAAAAAAAAAAAACCCTGAAATGATAGAAAAAAAGAGGATATAGTTAAAGTAAAGTTACAAGACTGAAACAAACAAATAAAAAAAGTTAGTAGACTCACCGATTGTTTGTCTGATATGATGGCCACATTTCTTCCATCTTGAAGTTCCAAAGTTCTAGAGAGAAGTCTTACAAACCAATCCCAATTATCATCATTCTCTATCTCTACAAGTGCCCATGCAATTGGTACAATTCTATTATCTTTATCTCTTCCAGTCGTAGCCAATAAATGTCCCTTTATGTGCCATTTAAGGAATGCACCATCTATACCTATGATAGGCCTACATGTTCTCTTCCAAAAGTCTTTTTGTGACTTAAAACAAATGAAAAGCCGAGAAAACCTTTGTAAGCTTCCAATGGTTGGCCCTGGGATTGTCTCGATCTCAAAGATTGTCCCTGCATTACTGCGGAAGATCTCAGCTTGATAATCCCAAATCCGTGAAAAGTGCTCTTGATGAGTCGCTTTTCTTTCTCTCATAACTAATGTCTTCGCCTTTGAACATTGATCTTCTGTTACAGTGAGTTTGTACTCTCTCTTGATCTCATCCACCATCTCTTGTTTGGTTATTTTCGGATTCTTTCTCAGCCTTTCTCTATACAACCAAGCTATTGTTCCTTGCTTCAGCATCTTTGAGTAACCCGACCTAACACACGAATGCTTATCTTTGTATATCTTCACTTGCATCTTCTGTTTCTTCTTATCATAGGAACAATAGCATCTCCATTAACAGTTGACATCAGTATCAGTGCACTTCGCTCCAACCCTCAAACTTTGTGATCTATACAGCTTAATATCATACCTCGTCTCTAGAGAATACCTCAACACAGCAATTTTGAAGTCGTCTGGGTTGTTGAATGTTTTCCCCAGCCTCAAAAGCTCTTCATGATCATCAGATTGAGGAGCATCACTTTCTTCTTCAATAATTTCTTCATCATCACTGTGTGACAGTGGATCTGGAATCCTCTCGTCATCCCAGATATCGTCACCACTATCACCATCGCTTTCGTTTGCCTCTTCCTCTTCTCTCACCTCTGCTCCAAATTCAGCTTCAAAATCTTCGCAATCTTCTTCTTTCACACCTAGACCACCATTGTTGTCTTCTTCTTCGAGACCAGCTCCATCATTAACTTCTGCCTCGACACCACCTCCATCATTTACTTCTGCCTCAACACCACCTCCTTCCTTTTCTGTTGCCTCGACACCACCTCCTTCCTTTTCTTGTGGAACACATTCCATGTCCAATTGTCCTCCTTCAACAACTTCTTCGTTGTTCTCGACTCTTTCGCCAGCATAGCAAACCTCATCACAGTCTTCATCCCCAACGACCTCGCAATCATCGCCACTAACAGCCTCACGATCTTCCTCAATGTCTACATCGTCGTCCTTCTTCCGCTTCTTGCGATTTGATCTGGATTGACGAACAACCTCCGCCTCATCTCCAGAAGGGATTTGAATCGGCTCAGCTTCTGTAGGATTTGGTCCGGCATTTTCCGCGGCTACTGCTTGACTCAGTCGCCGTGACCGCCGAACCGGAATTCTTCTCTTTGCCCCACGAGTTTTAGCCATCATCAGTCGGAATTTCAACAGAGTTAAGCGAGAGAGAGATATTGGGACTCTAGGGTTAGAAAATGAAATCGATTTGGGGATTAGGTTTAAGTTTCCCCCAAATCGTCAAAACGACGTCGTTTTATCGCTTAGAGTAAACGATATCGTTTTCAGATAACGGAGAAGTTAAACGGAAGTTTAACACCGTAAACCTTGTCTGTTAGCCTACTTAACGATGTGTCTAAAATGGCGAGTCGAAAAAACTTCGCTAATTAATTGTAAAGTCAACAAAAACTTTATAATTTAAATGTCTTCATCGTAGTCCAAGATTAAATCGTCCCAAATTTGAAAGTTCATGATTTTTTGACATTTTTCCCATTTTGAAATACTAACTCATGTTTTTTCAAGTTTGAAAACAAAAACTTAAAAAAAGTTACGAAAAATACTTTAATAAATCAATGGTTAACAGTAACTGAGTCCACTCTAATGCTATAACATTAAGTCCTTAATGGCTATGACATTGAGTCCTTAATGGCTTTAATGTCAGCTTGAGCTAGAAGGATGGCTTAGACGTCGAATCTTATAATGTCAACTTGAGCTAGAAGGAGGGCTTCGATGTCGAATCTTATAATGAAATATCTATTATTTCGAATGCATAAATTGCGGTTGTGATACATTCTACGATAAGGAAAACTTATGAATGAACGAGAAGATGCATATGTAGATTTAAACAAGAATACAAGGGATCATGAGACAAGTCTATATACAATCATGTAAATTAATACATTTTACTATACTACTAGGGATTAGTCCGGGCTACGCCCGGATATGTATATTAACAATTTACATTAAATTAGTGAATATCAAATTTGCTTTAGAAATCTCGATGCATATTATTTCATATTTATAGAAACTTTCCACGATTAAAGAGCCATGTGTACATAAATTATTGTACAACCATTCTTATAAACAATATTTAAAATTTGGTTTAATGTATTCAGTATATGATTTTAAAAAGTATATGATATATTCAGTTTTTCTTGTAGTAGAAAAGTTACATTTTAGATATGAATTGAAATAATTAGTGAAACATATGATCACTAACACAAGCAGAAGATAGTTCTCCACCCTTTGAGTTGCTCTAGCTACATGCCTTACTCCTCCATGACTAATTATGCAAACCCAAGAAACATCATTTACACTTAATATCATCCTCACCATAACAATCATCTCTTTTTGTTTCCATCACCTCCTCTACTTATCCTTCATAACGCCAGAACTGGCCACACTAAATATATATACATAGAAGATAGCCTGAAAACTACTTTTAGATTAGAAGCTCCAGAAATGTGGGAACAATTTGAGAAAATAGACAAAAGCAGGTAGTCATGTGCGAGAGTAGTTTTACAGGAAAAACATCTCCCTGTTTGTATCCCTAATATTTCAAAGTTCTTATGCCTAAGCACTATCTCAAAGAGCCGCAAACCCACATAGGCGATATGACATCCTTGAATATTAATGTTCCATAGCACCATCAGCGTTCTCGCCCTCTCGGACTATGACTTCTTAAGGGTTTTCTATTTTTTTTTTTCGTTTTTCTCTTGCAAGTGCTAGAATATTCCTAGACTAAGACGACAATTTCATAAAATAACAGAAAAATGTTTTGAATGTATCTCAAGAAGAATAAAAAATGCACATATATATGGTTGCAACGAATAATCAAATACTTAAGAAAAGGCAAAGCCCTTGGATCGTACCGCTGAATATCCAATTGAAGATGTAAGAGGAAGTAAATGTTCTTGATTCAAATGACGAAATTCCTCCCACATGAAGCTTTTGTCGGTAGCTTTGTAAATCCAGGAGAATAATAGTTAGGCTGAAGTGGACAACTAAATACTCACCAAGCTCGAACCCTTCCGTAGTATCTTCCAACGTAGGGCATTTAGTTATCTTCATCCATCAACATTAAAAACTTATTAATACTCAAATTATACACATCATAACCTTTGAAGAAGTAGAATAAAAATGTATCTTAAAAGATTCGTCATCAATAATTATGCATAATTCAGATGCTTTAACCTTTGTCTTCTTAATCATTGATTGTTTTGTTCTTAACCAAATGATAAGAAAATGTAGGAATTTTGCAGCGTTGTTCGACATGCATGCTTCACCGTTCTTATTTCTCGGCAGAATCTCTGCTGCATTCCTTTGGTTCCTGAAAAAATCTATAATAATGATAAACTATTGTTTGGATTATCACTTATCAGCAAGTTAATTGATAATGTTGACAAAACCAAATGATTCACATTCACAGTCACACAATCACATAAAAGTACTATAAATTAAGATTCTTACGTATTGGAAACTTGGTGAAGATATCTCTCAATGCTCACCTTATAAGAGACTTGAAACTTTTGTGTCAATTTTCTTTGTTGCAATCTTTGTGATGACTTGCAGATCCTTCTCCTCCAAGATTTTCTCGTGCTTATGCACCTAAAGAAAGTTAGGTTCCACACACAAGGGACTAACCGTTGTGAATTAAACCTCTCTAAATGATAATTGTTTGCAATCAAAGAGAGAAATTTGTAGAATTTCAAGAACAATGAAGGTCTTTGGAAGATACTTTTGGCAGTAGATATGAAAACCATAAACAATTGAAAAATTCGATCCATACCTTCGACGTCCTTACTAATAAAAACCATAAACACTAAAAATTGAGAATATGTATCTCTTGCCTTCGACGTCCTTAACCAATCCTTCAAAGATCTTCTTTCTCTTAATTAGTCCTCCTATACCTGCAAATATATTGTTCTAAGACCATCAATAATCTGAATTTTTTATTGCAAGAGAAAGTGGAGCCGCACCACAGTCTACATTGCCGGTGGTGTAGATCTCATCAACGTTTATTCTTTGGATCAAAAGAGAGAAAATATATTGAATTTGTACGTGGAAGATATAGAGTTTTGTTTATAGAGGGATTTTTGAGAACTGAAAAGTCTATACGGTTTTGATCGGATGCGTTTATAAATGTGAGAAAGAGGAAGTGGAGGGATCGTTTATTGACGATCATTGGAAACCTAGAAGTAACCCTTAGATGACGTGGCACAACAATTTGTTTTTCTTCTTATTTTCAAAACTCTCAACGAAAGTAGAAGCTGATGTGGCAGGTTTAGAGAAGATATTGAGAAGCTGATGTGGATGGCTTGAGAAGCTTCAATGAGCTTCTTTTATTAGTAAGAGATACCTTGCCACACCTTTACTAACTTTAACAACCTGATAAATAATTCAAACTCGTTTATCTGTCGAAAATAATCTAATCAGGAGCTTCGAGATCTATAAGATTATTCAACAAAGAAACACTTACATAAAAGAATGAACGTTGTTTTCAAAATTTTGATGTCTTGTGTTATCTAATCAGGCATATCGAATGTCCATTGGAATCTCAGGGTTTTCAATTAAGTTTTGATGTCTTGAGTTATGTTTATTTCTTTTTCTATAGCACACCCAATTTTATTTACGTACGTATACATAATCAAATATATACCTCCAAATGTTGCAAAAAACAAAAAAAAATTAAGTGCTATGCTATCTCCCCAAATTTCTCTATATTGTTTGACTAAATCAATATCCTAATAACTACTTAAAAGATATTGTGTCATTTTATAGTTTTATTTTCACTCATGATTAGTTTTGTTAACAATATCAAATCATACAAAATCTAAAAGAATTTTTTTTTCTTTCTCATTTTCCGTTTCAAATGAGTTTTTTTTTTGCCTTTCTTTCAATTCCAAATGCATCTTATAAAATGCATTGAAGACAACAAGTGAAGCCTAAACACAAGAGAGGGTGCCAAAGTCTTGTAAGTGAAAGAAAATAAATATGCCAACGGATGATGCTTTGGAGAAAATGGAGGCCGCCGGAGAAGTATAAATGTAGCCGTGTAAAATTTTGGGTAACAACATTGCTTTTATCCATATCGATTTCCGCAATGTCTCTTTTTATATTCTTCCAAACTGGAAAATTCAATAACATGGATAAATCAGCTGCAACTGCTATAATATGCACTGGGAAGTTTTTTACGATGTTTTCTGTAGTAACCGCGATGATCTTAGGGTATGGGATGTGGTGCGGATGTGATTTTCCTGCTCCAGTTGAAATAACAGAAAAAGTTACTACAGTCGATAGAGCAATGCAACAATTGTTTGTTGTGTTTATATGCATTGTGACACTTTGGTCGAGAAAAATTGTGGAGGTTTTCATCTTTACAATGTCATTCATGGTGATCGTCGGGCCGAACACGAATTCAAAACAGAAATAATGAATGGGATCAAAACAAAACACTTCTTATTGAACTTAACTCACTGACTTTCGTTGATTCTAAGGAATAATAAGCAAAAATACAACGCTAAAGTTTTCCGGAATCGAAACAAGATTTCTCCTGTGAAGAAACACAATCAACCAAACTGAATACTTCGATCGGAGAAGAAACAGATCGAAGAACAAAATCAAAGAAACAAATCGGAGAACACGACGGATTGATCGGAAAATCAACAAATCGGAAAAATCAAACGATCAATCGAAACGAAATTGATCGGAGAATCAGAATCTCCAACAAAATCGAGTGACGAATCGAAAAAAAAAAAAGCAAAGAATCAGAGAATCGAATTAAGCGGAAGAAGTAAATTGTAACACCCCGGTTTCAGGAATATGGTGGTGCATGCAGAGAGTTTTATAAGAATTGATTTGGCCACCTATGTCACCAAAGTGCACTTATCTTTTCGGTCAACTGTCCTGAGAGAACTCCACAGTTAAGGATGCTCGAGCTGGAGTAGTTTCAGGATGGGTGACCTTCCGGGAAGTGATTGTCGGAACTGTGTGAGTGAGGACAAAATACATGGAAAGATCATGTGGTGATTTGTAGGGTCGGTAAACAAGTCTTTAAAGCCTCCCGACGTAGCGGACCGGCCGTCAGACAGGGGTGGGCCCATGGGCCCGAGAGAGGACATGGGACCCACTGGTAGGGACGGTCGGGGTGTTACA